AATGCTAGTGAGACGCTAATGTGGTTCGTGGCCTGCTAACAAGTTAATGCTAGCCGGACACTGAACGAACAGCTCGCCGTAACGCGTTAGCCCGAGTCACACAATGTCGGCTACCTCGCTAACTAAAACCAGGAACTGCTGGGACAGCTCCCCTGATGCGGTTGCTGTTCCACAGTGCAACTCTAAGTACACTTCTTTCGAAGGACTTACTCAGCACGATCCAAACTGGAACCGGAAAAACTGCGTTCGGCGACGTACTCCTGCACGGGACACCTGAGAACTGTTAAGCAGCTAATCAAGTTAGCCTGGATGCGCTGAGGGAGCTCAAAGTAGTTTCTCACGGGAAGAAAGCGAGAATGAGTTAGGAGGAGCTGGTCGGCCGTGTTAGTAGGAGGGGGCGGAGCCCTGAGCACGGCTCGACAGGTCTGTCATAGACAGACGTGGTGTCATTGGAGCTTCCGTAGTTGGTCACGCCGAGGCGATTCCCATAGTGAAACACCGAGCGAAGTTAGAAAAAGAACGGTAAGTTTTCTCTAAATATCTTCTTAGCTGTGGTTAGCTGGATGTCAGCCTTATGTTACAGCAGCTGTGTCGAGCTCGAGCTGCAAGTCATATTTTTGGCGCTACGTTGTAGTGAGACAAGTTTGTGGGTGTTTTGTGCAGCTTCAGCTGTCTTTTTAACTGCTCGCTGGTTAGCTAGCGTGAGCTATAAGCTAACAGCTAGCCTCGTTAATGACGCTGGAGTTCAACGCACATGCAAACAGCTCGTCTCTACTGCTTCTGTTAAAACAGAAGGCAATACTGCGGCTGGCAGAATTTATTATGTGAAACAACAGCTTGTTTAGTTTAAACAGTCTGCATTAAGCTGGGCAAACACTGCGATTTTTTTCCAGTCGCGTTATTCAGCTCCTGCTCAAACTGTACAATTGAATCGCAGGGGTTAGAAGTTCAAAGGTCACGATGCAGGGTCTCACACTATACGGCCTGATGCTCTGATGTGACTTGAGTGCTCAAACTGTGCGTCCATAACATGAAGCTTATCATACAAAATCTGTCTCTCACTCTCCCTCTCTCTGTCTTTCACTCACTCACACACCACCACCACCATCAACTTTGCTAAATTACTAATGGAAAACATTGACCAGACAGCTGCAATTGAGCAGCAATGTCCATCCAACTCTTTTCATGGTTGTTGTAGTCGTCACAATTTTGTGAGGCCACACTGAAAAGCCTCGGATACGGTAGCGTCGTACGGAAGCGTAGAGCTGCCACCCAGCCAAAAGTATATTGTTCTAACAATATACTATTGTTAGAACAATATACTATCATGTTAGTACAATATACCTTTCACGTTTGAACAATATAATATCACGTTATTACAATATACAGAATTATCACGTTCGTACAATATAAATATTATATAGGCCACATCGCAGCTCCCGTCACTGCTTCCATCAATGTCTTTCTCGTCTTTTCCCAGAGTAACAGCCAAACAGGAGGATCTATTGGCTAGCACTGCTTAGCCTTGCACACATTCTTATTTTAAACTTAATCTAGAATTCATTGCAAACTGTTTGTGCGAGATATGAATGACAGGATTTTGTTTTTCTACAAGAGTTAGTAAAAAACATCTCCAGTGTGATCAAATCTTCTTGCCAAACATCTGCAGCTTGGCAGTGTATACAGCACTATAATGACCAGACCCAATTCTTTTGAAAACCATACACCTTCCACGGGTCTCAACTTCATCAGACATCACCTCGACACAGAGCTGGATGAGGCCAGCGCAAACAGCAGCCTAACCGACTAAGATGATGAATCCATGGGGTCAGGAAAGCCAGAAGCAGGGCTGGAGAGGTACCTTTCATGTCCATTCACTGGAGGTGTGGATCTATTGCGTGGCGTTCCTCACATCAAGAAGCTGTCGATCAAAATCAATACAGCCCTTCATGCATCTGGAGCTTGTGAAGGACTTCTCAGTCATGCAGGACTCCTGTTCACTGCTAAACAGTGACAGCTTCACAGCAAGAACCTTGAGAGCAAACTGCTGCTGAAGCTTAACCATCACCTCACTGAGTGAAGAAATGGCACATTTTTGCTAAATATCCAGAAAATGCACACCCATACAACTTATGGTAAACTGATGAAGATGCCTCGTTCTGTTTTCTCTGAGGCTGCTGTGCCATTTGGAGCAAAAATGAATATAAAGTTTACAGCATATCTTGTCACTGGAAATTGTTTGCACTGTTTATATATTTATATTATTTACTGTAGGTATTGGTGAAAAAAGCTTTATGTTGTGAAAAACTAAAATCTGGAAAAAATTTTATTGATCTTTTTACATATATTCCTTTTGAAAATACTAAAATTTGTATATTTATTTATTTTTGTTTGTCTGATAGCATTTATTTATAAAATAAATCGGACATTTCAAACAGTTACTCGCTACTTGAGTAGTCTTTTCACCAAGTACTTTTTTACTCTTACTTGAGTAACATTTTTGAATACTACTTTTCACTTTTACTTGAGTAATAATATTTTAAAGTAATGCTAATCTTACTTGAGTACAATTTTTGGATACTCGACCCACCTCTGGAGGTGACTGAGCATCAAGAGAGAAGAAAAACAAAGTTATGTGTGAAATCAGAATGAGGAGAGATGAAAAGAACCGAGATCTTAGTGTCATTTCAGATGTTGTTATTTGTTGTGCTGAGTAATTGGAAAGGGGTTTGACTACAGACAATAAGACCTGAGTGGTGGACCTGATCTGATTTGCATGTGAATATAAAGCAATAAAAGGGAAAAGGGACATATGTGATGTCCCAGGATTAAACGTGTGATGAAACAATGGATCCCGTTTGCCTGGAGATCAAATCAAATACAATTACTGAGTAATATGTTGAATAAACAGCACGCAAGACTTTCTCTTGGTGAGCTGCACTGTCTTTGACAGCATACGGTGGGACAGATTTAGAGCGTCACGCTGCTCAAAGAGATATAACAGATTTGTTGTTTCAAATTTAAATCAATTTAAACCATAAAAGAGTTAAACAAACTGCATTAAAACCTGAGGAGGCATTCCTGGTGTCAAAATTACAAAAAGCATCTTTTTGGAATCTGACCCATCCAAAAACTTTAAGGTTAAAAGCAGATGTGATAATATTACCAAAGAAATCCATTATATTATCGTGTTCTTACATAGTTGTTGTTTTTTTGTTTTTTTTAATACATGTTTTGGGGGCTTATTAAGCAGATCAGATTCAGAAACACTTGTAAGATTAGATTTGTGTTCATATTTAGGCTGGATCTCTCTTGTGGAAAAAATAACATTAACAGTTGCTTCTTCCAAACAACTGCTCTCAATTAACATGTGCTTAAACCAAAACATGATCACTTTATCTTTATTAACAGTCTGCAGATGTTTAAGATTGCTGTCATTAAATCTCTAATTAAAAATCCTTGATTAAGGGCGTTTTGGCCAATTACTGCCAAATATCCATTACACCCTTTATTTATGATTATTTTTACTCATTTTATTCATTATTTGTATTAGATTAGCATGCAATAATGGTTCCATTTTTAGGAGTTTCATTCAGCATTCAGAGAGCATGATAACTCAGAGACAAGCATGGGTAAAAAGCATCAACCATCTTCTCATATCCTCACACAATGGACTCCTCTCTGTAGCTATCACGCTGGATCTCGGTGTTGCATTTGACACCACTGATCATATCGCGCTTTGACTCAAAAGACGAGCACTGTGCTGGTCATATTTATCAGATGTTGAAAGTCTTCCAAAAGTCATATAAGAGGTTCAATGTCGTGTGCTGGTTGACAATGCATATATTTCTATTGGCAATTGGTGATCTCAATCTCTGTTTTGGGCCCTAAAAACATGGCATTAACTTGGCCTCTAGCACTGCTGATTCCACTGAGTCATTTTTGACTAGAATATCTCCTTTAACTCATGCATTTAAAGTCATCTGTAGCGATACAGATGAGCCGTCCAGCATTATTAACATTACAAACATGCCTTCTTAGAATGATGCTGAAAACAATCCCATTTATTAGTTACTTCTGGGACCAGCAGTTGTAATTCTTTATTATCAGGATATAGCTAACGGAAAGCTTCTACAATATGTTGCTCTGAAGATATTAAGTAGCAAGAGAGATCCCATTTCTATATTGCTATAGGCTCAGGCTGCTGCTGGACCTCCCATCAAGCACGGAGCATGTCTCTTATCTCATTTCTTCCTCTATGCATTCATGTAGCCTTGTTCGTGTCATAAATTGTGTTTCTTTCCTCTTCATTAAGTTGTGCATTTTCCTCTCTGGCCTTTCTCTCTCTGAAAGTCTTGCAAACATCTCCAGGGCCGCATGATCCTGATCTGAAGGTGCTTTTCTTTTCTTTCACCCCAGTAGGTCTAGACAGACATCATCTATAGCAGGTTCCTTCCTGGGGTTTTTTTCTCACCACAGTCAGGGTGCTCCTCAAAGAGAATTGCTGCTTTTGTCTTGTTTTTTTGAATTGTAAGGCTTACCTTATGATGTATATGAAAAATGCTGAGATTTACATTTGTTATGCACTGGTGTAAATAAATGCAGTTATCTAAATAAAACTAAAGACATGCCATTTCATTGCAATGGCCAGAGGGGCCGATGGCGCCATATGGCAGCCTCACTTCTGTCAGTCTGCCCCAGGGCAGCTGTGGCTACAACTGTAGCTGCCTCCACCAGTGAGTGAATGCGAGAGAGAATGAATAGTGGCATTGTAAAGCGCTTTGGGTGCCTTGAAAAGCGCTATATAAATCCAATCCATTATTATTATAATGTTTAGATCCCCATCCATATTTTGGCATGGTCAGCCTTGTTGTGCATAGTTAGGGTTGTTGTATTTTCTGGTCAGGCATGGCAGATGGTCAGTTTCTTAACTTAACTGAACGGTGTAGACAGATGGTGCAGAAAAGGAAGTGAAATAATGAAAACTAAACATCACTCACAAGTCAAAGCGAAGGTTCTGCTTCTCCTCAAAAAAGTAGTCCAAGATGTACTTTCTAACAAAGTCGGGGTTTAGAGTGTTGTCTATCACCTCTGTTCTGCCAAACTGTAGGAGGAGAAAGACAGATGGAGGTCAGCAGAAGAGAATGATGAAAGAACAAGCAAGACATTGAAACACAGTTTTAAAAACAAATACAGTTAGTGTGTGCTTGCCCTTTTCATCTCTTTCCTGGGCTTATTACATAAGTGTATGCACACAGTCACAGAGGCCTGATTAATGGAGGTGCTTTCACATGGTTCTGCTGTGCAAATGAAATCAAGGGTGGGTTTCCCGGATGCTTGATCTTCACCCCTCTCCTGTATTAATTACAGCAGGTTAGCGCATACATCAACCTCGCGGAAGGAAAAGGAAAATGTAAGACGCCCTGTGTGGACAGGGAAAAGTTATGGGTAGATTTGGAGGGGAAAAGGGGAAAGGGATAAAAAAACTGCTGGAGGGAAGGAAATGGGGACACTGTTTGAGTCAGAGCTTTGGATTGAAAACAGTCAGAAGGGTAAAAATGAGAAAAGAGTGAGGAGAGGTGAGGAGGAGGAAAGCAGTCATTAGGGCTTCCTACATTTTCTCACTCCTAAATTACAAATGCAGGGAAATATGCCAGAGAACAATTGACAAAGGCCCAGAAACTCCAAGTATATGCACAATCACTGGCCACTGTATTAGGTACACTTTACAAGTAATGGTTTGGACCCACTATAGCAGTCAGAACGGTCTTAATGCTTCACTTCAGCAAAGTGCTGGAAACATTCCCCACATATTTTGGTCCATATTAACATGATAGCATCACACAGTTGCTGCAGATTTGTCAGCTGCACATCCCTGATGTGATTCTCTCATTCCACCACACCCCAAAGGTGCTCTGCTGAACTGAGATCTGGTGAATGTGAGTACAGTGAAGTCATTGGCATGTTCAAGAAACCAGTTTAAGATGATTTGAGTTATTCTGATGGAAGCAGCCACTGGACGATGGACAGACTGTAGTCATAAAGGGATGGATGTGCCATTAAATGGTGCCTTATTTGGTACTAATGGGTCCAAAGTGAACCAGGAAAATATCCCCTACACCATTACACCAGCAGCAGCCTGAACTGTTGAAGCAAGGGAGGATGGATCCATGCTTTGAAGTTGTTTATACCAAATTCTAACCCCAGTCTTATATTGCCCCATTTAGGTAGCCTCAGTATGCTGTTCTGTCCTGTGTAACGGACATGGCACCAACCACGGTCTTCTGCTGCTGTACCCCATCTGTTTAAAGGTTCGACGTGTTGTGCATTCAAAGACATTCTCCTGGTTGTGGTTATTTTAGTTGCGACTGCCTTCCTGTTTGGCCATTCTCCCCTGACCACTGAGATCAACACTGGATATTTAACCCAGAGGACAGCCTCTCAGTCGATATTTAAAAATCTTTTTGGTCACCATTCTCTGTAAACCCTACAAATGGCCATGCGGGAAAATCCCAGTAGATCAACAGTTTGATAAATACTCAAATCAGCCCACCTGACACCAACAAACATGCCACATTCAAAGTTACTTCAGTCACATTTCTTCTCAGTTCTGATGCTCAAGTTGAACCTCGGAAAATCATCCTGTCTATATCTACATGCCTAAATGCATGGAGTTGCTCCCATGTGATTGCCTGATTAAAGAGTGTGCATCAGTTAAAACCTCCACAGATTTATATTTAATAAAATAAAAATAAATAGTGAAGCATTAAAGCACACATTGCCTCATTCGTGACTTTATACTAAGTCTGAGCCCTCTGGTGTTTGAACAAACATAAAAACAGTGGAGTCAGATGAGAGCAGTTAACACAAGAATGAAATTACCTCAAAATGGATTCAAGAAAACACACACACTGGAGATTGCACCACATTTCCTGTGTATACTGAGTCTACTCTGTACTGTACATGGCTGCATGTTTTTGATGTCACATTTAATGGTTTCCTGCCAGCACAGCTATAAACTGTTTGCGGTTTGAACATCTCAGCTTAGTCATAGTTATTTGCTGGTAATATCACCAGAACTTCACAAGATAAATCACATCTTACTTCTACATTTCTAAATTTGAGCCATGTGAGCATGCTCTGGGCCTGTAGGGGACAGCTGCTCTTGTTATAGCTCAGAAAAAGACGTTATTGCTACATCTATTAAAGCCACGCCTCCTGTGATAGGTTTAATATTCATTTCATCCTTATATCACAACAAGGAACAGCATTAATTGATTTGTAATGAGCGGCATTAATCATATTTTTTCTTAATTGATTTCCTTAATCAAATCCATCTTCATTCCTTTATGCCTAATATTACAATGATGCACAGATGTCAGAGGCAAGAATTCTTTCTTTTGTTAGAAAGATGAAAATTCAACCTGTGCTCAATAATGCAATAATGACATCGGGTCAGATGCGAATCCTATATAGACAAACTGTTTCCACAGACTACAACAGGTCTGCCTGTGAAATAGACACCATGAGGCAGAGGGCAAACGTGCTGTGTTGGTGTCATCAGCATCATAGCAGTGGAGAGGTGTTTGACCTTTAATGTGTAGGTAATGTTATGAAAACCAAACCGTGAAATTTAAGTGAAGAGAAGAATGTGTGGTTCCAGACATGGTTCAAAAACTTCTTTCCATCTAGAGTTTGTATAACACCACACTGGCCTTCTAATGCTGATTTTTTTTGCATTAGTTGAAAATGTCAGTAAAGCGTTACCAAGTGCATCAAAATGTGACAGGGAGCAAGCGTCAGTATGTGATGAGTTCAGAATAAGAATATGTTGTAGTATGTGCAAACTTTAGTATTTTTAGTGCAATAATGTTTATTTGTATGGGAATAAGCATGCAACTTCAACGAGTTCCACACAACATTCATAGCTTAAAGCAAATCTGCAACGGCCTTTTCAGAGTCACTCTTGTTTTCCACAGTCTCATAACTCACCAGCAAGTCTGTCGAACTCTTCATAGAGGTAAACAGAACCTGTTTGCAAAGATTAATCTTCCCATAACATGGAATGCAGCTTTTGTGAGCGAGTGTGAGTAAACGATGACTTTGCACCGATAGAAAACTTCACTCTTCTGTGATATTGCACCACTGCCGAATCCCTCTTTCTAAAAATAGGAGGGCAGGACTACTGATATTGAATCTGTGTTCTGCCCTGAGTTTTTTTCCGAAGCACCCGGAGCTGTTGATGAGGTTGTGAGCACATGTTAGTAAAGAGGCGGGAGATTGCAAAAATGAGCACCATACGTGATTTCCCAGCTGAGTGGAAGAGACAATACCGTGCTGCAGAGTTCATTAGATACTGCTGGGCTGCTGGAGCTGGCTAATGAGAATCTGGCAGGAAGTCCCTGACCTGCACCCTCGACATTTACACACATAGACGCAAGGCAGCTGGCACGCATATACTTATGGCATCTGAACTCTTCGGTCCGCTGATGTAGAGACCGATAGTGTCTCGTGTTGAAAATGTGACCATGTCCCTAAGTCTCATTGCAAGTGATCATGGTGTTAAATTAAGAAATGGGCAAAGGAGAACAGTAATAAAACATGTATAATCCATTATTATCTTTTTGGCTTTTCTATCCCAAATATGGCTAAGAGTTAATTATGCTGACCATCATACTTTGCATAAACAACCTTTTTTCTTTTAACACGCACAAATTGTCAGTGCAGATTTTTGCCATCTGAATGTGCTGTAGTTCTTTTTCTGTTCTTTGTGGCTCAGCAGACAGCAACACAGAGCTCATATAATGAGCATGTTGGAGTCAGTAGTGTGAATTAGTGTGAGATAGCTTTCTGTCTGTTTTGGCCTTCAGTGAAAAGCATTGGGGTGAGTTTAAAAAAGAAATCCCCAAGACAAAGAAAAGACACAGAAACACGAAGAATACTGAGCAGCTCCCCAGGACTGATAGAGAGTTTAGGGAGGAAGAGTAAAACAAGCAGCTGAAAACCATTTCTTCCACGATAAGTGCTGCATGGCTTCATGGGAAAACAACTCCCAAGGTTTGTTAGAGCTTCGAGCCACAGCTGTGATTGTGCGAAGTCTGGGTATATGTGTGCACATCAAACAAATTCTAAAACTCATGCACGCAGAAACAGGCATGTGCACCAACACACAAACGCACACTCATTCACATAGCAGGTAGTAGCAGATAATGTCAGACGGTGGGAAAAAATAATAGAAATCATCAACCGTGTCAATCTCCATTAGCTGTTCTCCGACTGGCTCACAGCATACAGTAATCACTCGGCAACTTTGCACCTCCATTGCTATGTTTTACTTGTTTATATATCCAACAGTCCTTCATTGTATGTATGTACTACATATAAGGTGCAACCATTCAGTTCAGCGACTCCACCTGTGAAAATAGATAAAAAATACAATTTAAATTTGGTCTATTTTCCCTTCATGTTTTCTCCCTTGCAGTGCAGCTCTCTGAGCAACGTTTGGTCCACAGGAAAATCAGAATGAGCCTTTCAGGGAGTGATCTGAAAGCAGTAAGTGGGCCAAAAGTAAACAAGGAGACAACCTGGAAGGGGAACTCGACCAGATTTAAGTAGGTTTTTTGTTTAGTTTTTTTTTTATTGGAGAGAGTTTCTTGTCGTTAGGACTACGCCTTATATTCATCTAATGAACCTAAAAATAAGTTGATGTAATTAAGTGTTAACATTACAGGCAGCCGGATCAGGTCAGGGACGAGACCCTGCCCCAAGTGGAGGAGTTTAAGTATCTTGGGGTCTTGTTCACGAGTGATGGCAGAAGGGAGCGGGAGATCGACAGACGGATTGGTGCAGCGGCTGCAGTGATGCGGATGTTGTACCGGTCTGTTGTGGTGAAGAGAGTAGAGCCGGTGCTCCTCCACATCGAAAGGAGCCAGCTGAGGTGGTTCGGGCATCTGACAAGGATGTCCCCTGGACGCCTCCTAGGCGAGGTTTCCCGGGCATGTCCCACCGGGAGGAGGCCCCGGGGCAGACCCAGGACACGCTGGAGAGATTATATCTCTCGGCTGGCCTGGGAACGTCTTGGTGTTCCCCTGGATAAGCTGGAGGAGGTGGCTGGGGAGAGGGAGGTCTGGGCTTCTCTGCTTGGGCTGCTGCCCCTGCGATCCCGGATAAGCGGAAGAAAATGGATGGATGGTTGGATTACATTTAATAGGTCTTGTCTTGTGTTATATTGTAAGGAGAAGCAAATGGTTCACAAATATCCTTAATGTGACTGTGTTTGTATGGACATACTGTGGAAACTCAGTGAAGCTAGAGCTGAGACTTTTTGCAGCTGTGATTTTCTGGTATACGGTCTAATTACCCGAGGTACACTTACACAACGATTCCAGGAAGAAGTGTATTTCTAAGAGTGCTCTCAATTTGGGCTGTATTAGTCAGTAATACCTCAAATTGTTCGACAGTATGTTTGTGCCTGGTAAACATCTCCTATGACCTTTTCAGACTTGGTTTTGGATACTAGAGTCCATATTCAGGTTTATTTTCTCCATTGTTTTGGATGGGGAGTCATTATTGAAGGTCACTTAGTTGTTTTTAAAACAATAACCACTGGAGCAATAAAAAGCACTGAATCATCTTGAGCATAAAATCAACCTAAAAGTATCCTACAACTACATCCGGAGCACTTTAATGTACTGTAGAGGATAATGAGTGCAAAACGAAGAGAATCAAGTCCACACATAACTTATCTATGCACTAGTCTGTTGTATAAAGTGATGTGCATACTCTTCATCAAGAATGACCTGTATTAGCATGGCAGGCATAATGCAGTGTGCACCAAATACCGGAGGAGATGGAAATAATCGTCAAACGTGGCCCCACCGGTGTGCTAGAGGGCCCTGTCAGAAAGCATTATTTAGCAGTCCCTGGTGAGTCACCTGTTTTAGCTTTGCTTGTTCAATCGGAGGCGCTCAGTGTCGCTCACACAGCATCACCTGGAGCCGCTCCAACACATACAACTGAACAATATGACTGTGGATGCGATGGTTCATGTCCGCAAGGAGAGGGCTGATTTAAATGTTTCCTGGTGAACAGCAGAAGATGGAGTGCAATCTGAAGTGAAAATAAACTGAAGTGAAATGCTCATTATATTAATTACATTTTGTGTATTTGATTGGATTAGAAGGCATTCAAACTGAAAAAACAAAGAAGTGGATGGCAAAGGGACCTTTACTTTGCATATGCAAATGCATATGCGCTTAGGATTTACACATATGCATACACATTTTCACACCCAAAGAGCAGGGCTGTCAGCAATAATTCAGCTACCTTTGAATTAATCCCACACAGCCATCTGTTGGGAGTGAGTAAACATAAGAGCAGCAGATGAGTGTATAAATAAAACAGCCATATACCATATAAATAAACAAATTACATTAAATTATCATGTATTGAAAATATCTGTGCCCATTTGGACAATGAGCAGTGTTTGATGAGGAATCAATCAAACTGTGCACGTCCAGCCTTGGAGGGGATGCAAGTGAAATCACGGCTGTGGCACTGGGAACATAGCTGTAAATTAATATCATGCTATACTCATCACGTTACAGTTCCATTTTTAATGACTTTCTTTTTTCATTGCTGTCTTGGTTGATAGTTTTTAATATTTTTGTTGCCTGTTTGTATTACAGAACATTAAAATCTAGTGCAGGAGTGGGCAATTCCAGGCCTCAAGGGCCGGTGTCCTGCAGGTTTTAGATCTCACCTTGGGTCAACACACCTGAATCACATGATTAGTTCGTTACCAGGCCTCTGGAGAACTGCAGGAGCTAATTTAGCCATTTAGATCAGCTGTGTTGGTTCAAGGACACATCTAAAACCTGCAGGATGCCCTCGAGGCCTGGAGTTGCCCACCCCTGATCTAGTGTCAAACTCTATTTATCTTCGCAAGGTTTGGACCAGACGTTCTCTAACGGGAATAGTTTTTAAAGCAAAACTCACTTTTGATTTATGATTTTTTGATCTAATGACTTTAATTTATTGTAAGCCAAACATGTATTCTCACTTACAGCATATTTGCTGTGTTTTTACACTAAAGCATTGCGCTAGCAATACTCAGATATGTGCATACACAGTACAGTGTATTGCATTACGAATTTATTAGACCAGCATCCGATGTAAGGTTTATGGCACAGCTGCTCCAAATTAAAACTTTTTTATGTTTCTGCAATGGTTTATCCACCAGCATGCACGAGCTCTTTGATCAAAATGTATTTTTTCTTATGCTAAATGGGGGGCTCTTTTTCTTGAATAATCTATAAGAGAATCTGAAATTGTTATTGCAGTTGTTACCTGGTTATGAAGGGTGAGTGTAGGTCTGATTTAAAGGATTGAGGAGAGATTCTCTTGTTCAGTGTGACTGCTTCTGAAGTTCATGTTCAGTGTCATCTGTATTTATTTCTTTACTTGTGCTTATAGTTGTTGCAATTTCTGCTGCCCCTTCAGCCAGATATCTCTTGGAAAAATAGAGTTTCAATCACAATGACACTCTTTAACTTGACAAATAAAAGATATTTATATACAAAAATATTTACCGTGCCCGTGACAAATTTATTACAGGCTTAGTTCATAAACAGTATACTGTATATATTTTAATTTGGTCTTGCAGCCAGCTTTTATTGCAATAGGACAAAAATTCTATTAAAATAAACTACAATGGCCACGTTCGATTTAATCGAAAGCAGCAGCTTGGCCCATTTCTGTTAATAGTTTTTGGATACAAATGGAGGTCTGTGAAACATCAACGGGCCACATACACATGCACTTGTATCTACTTAAAACTGTTCATCTTAACAACAGGAAAGATGCTGAATATTGTCAACTACATCCTTTTGAGTTAAATTGCTATTATTATTATTATTATTATCATTATTACCTTCATTATGTGCCACATTTGGGAATTTCTTCCATAATAAACATTCTGATGTCAGCTGCTTATCAGTATTTGCAAAGACATAAAGGTAAAGAGTTTGGCTTCAATACTTTATTTAACACTTTACTTCACATATTTATTTTGTATCATTATGTGTTTTGCTAATTCCACCTGCAATCCAAATAATTAGGTTTCATTAACTGGACAAACAGACAGAAGGGTGAGATGACAAGTAGAGAGCTGATGGTAATGCCGCATAAACCAAACAAGCCTCACTAAGATGTGGATTAACGAATCTGCAGCGTGCTGTTTAGTCCCCAAAATGTCAGCATATTGATCATTATGGTGTGAGGGTTTTTGTTGTTGGTTGAAGTCTCCAATTAGGGAATATTTCCTTGGCATTTTAAGACGACTGATGCTTGAACAAGTTTAATGAATTGTCAAAAAACACTCACAGAGAAAAAGGGGGAAGAAAACCATGAGCTGAATGTCTTAACTGGAGTGCCACCACTCCACCCCTGTGCACACAGAGAGCAAGGCCAGAACTTAATTGGACGCGCTGTAAGTTCTTTCTTTTTTGATTTGTGTGTGCATGTTCGTGTGTACACTCACCTCTCTCCACTGTTTGGTTTCAACACCTTGTGTATAGAGCACGCACACTGAGAAAAAGTGCCAGGGAGGGACATAAAAAGAGGAAATTTGGTGAAAGAAAGAGAAAACAAGAACCAGGGGGGGAGAGAGAGGAAGAAAAGAGAGTGAGAATTAGAAAAATGGAGGCAAATTCCAAATGGGAAATCAATGTGAGGGTTTTAGCTCCAGTGCAGTGAACAAACAGCCACAGCACACTGAGGGGAAAAAAAAAAAGATTTCCCAAACTACAAGGCAACATATCGATAAAAAACACACAGAGGAGAAGTAGAGAACGACCACAACCAGAAGCAGGCGTAGAAAAATAATAAAGTACCATAAATAGGAGAAGTCTTTACAAAATACTCACTTGGATCTGACTTTGAGAATGTGTCTTTATCCAGCAGATTTCTGGAAAAGGAAGAGAAGAAAAAAGCAACAACTGTTACTCATGCTGACAGCTTGACATGAGTCACTTATACTCAGCTATGTTCTAATATTTATGTGCACATACGGTATATTCTTGTCATGTTTAAGATGATACCATTTTTTTAACCAGAAGCCCACTTGAGAAGTGCAGAGCCTTATCTGACAATTTTACAGAAAGTGATCTGATCTGCTGATTCAGATCACTGTGAGTTTTGTGCGCTCTTCATTTTGTGCCTTGGTTTTCTGGTTTTCCCTTTTTTCCTTTCTTCGGGTATCTAGTTTGAGCTTTTGTCACATTGTAGTCTCTGGGGACTTTTTTTGTTGCATCACATTTCATCTGTCTCTCTCAGCCTCCACTCGTCCCCCTCTCACTGCAGATTCACATCAAACATGCAAAACTCCTCTCTGATGAGAGACTATCAAGAGTTTCCTCTCATCGTCACGGCGATTTTTCACCACCACTCCCGGCATCAAAGCCATGATACCTTGCAAATAATTAGATATCAAATTAGATGCAAGCCAGCGTTAACACAAGAAGGAAAACAATAAGCCACCCCACATTTAACATCAATGTTTCATAGTGGCGTCTGTTCTCATGTCAGCTCTGTTCATTCATTCAAGTCAAAACGTTGGATTCTTTAAGGGGATAAACCCCAGGTCCTAGTAATGTAGATTTTTAGCATGTTTTGAGATCAGATTTAGGGTAAATGGCATTAACATTGTCACCGTTATAGGGCAGTCAAAGTGGTAGAAAACACTGAAAGATGGGTGTTGTGAGGTACATTCATATTAGAGCAAGGGCAAAAGCACTGCCTATATCAGGGATCAGGATAAAGGGTCCAAAGCAGGATAGCGACGCAGAGATTGGGAACACAAAACAGAAAAAAAACCCACCAAGTATGATGAGCAGGAGCACAACAGAAAAACAGGAGACAAAGGTGGGAACAGGACAGAAAACAAACACAAACTTAACTAATGAGGGTGAGTCACCGAAAACAGCAGAAGGTAAAACAAGAACAAGGCTTTAAATGTAAAACAGAAAGTAAAAAAAGGCAAATAACTAACACTGAGACACGAGGACTAATATAAACATGGTGATAGAGACAGGAAACAGGCGAACTAGAAGCACAAAGAAACAGCACACTAACAAAGGTAACAGGGAGCGAAACAACACAAATACTCAAAAGTCTATTACAGTGAGGGAGCCGTGGCAGCGGGGAGGGAGCACAAAAGGTATGCGACCCTAGCTTACTTCATAGTGACTGATAAGACCCACTCATGAAGCAAACATGGGCGCCTGCAGCACTGCAGAACATTTGTGTCCCCCATCAGCCAATGAGAATAACTACACAATCTCTGTTAAGTTATTATTTATGCCTTTCACAAAGAAATCCAACCATGTTTAATTATTTTTTGGCTTCACCATCTACCACTTTTCGTTTTTACCTGAAGCACCATGTGTAGTGTATGCTGGTTTTTTATTATTATCCCCTATGAGGAATACAATGTAGAACCATTGGTCACTAATCAACAATTCTACTACTTGTATTATTTATTTGGGATAACGCAGTCAGTAATTGTGGGGTCACCTCATTATATAGTGTCGTTACACGATGCTCACTAAAAAATCTAATAGGAAGCAGTGGATGATTCCTAACAAACCCTTGTTGCTGTAGCCTACGCTCTGTCTGTTGCTACCGTCTTCTGCTCTTCGGCTCTGGCAAACCATTTATTGTCAGTTAACATAAAACACAGGGGAACAGATTAAAAACTTCTGGCGTTTTGTGAACTTCAGAGAGATCTACCTGATGGCCTTAATCAGCACTGAGTGAGCTTGTTTGTCAAACCCTCTAATAGACATTCATTTGTATGTAAAAGACTCTTACTCTAGCTTTAGAAATGAAAAGTTCACTATGAGTGCAAGGTTATTTTCACATTTACAATCCCTACGTTTGCAAATGTGATTGCATGTGAAGCCTTTGACATGCACAAACAAACATGCTCTTTCATTCATTCCCGGGCAATGAAATCAACTGGCTAGCGGGGGTATCAAAACTGAAAATTGTTGGGTTGGATTTTGCACAATGGCAGCCTGATTGCTAACAAGTCTCCGTGTTTACTCATCTCATTTGCTCATCCCTATCTCTGCCCTCCCACCTTACCTCTTACTTTGTAATGGCACGTAGCGTTCAACCTCACACGTTTACATCTGTCATATTAAAGAACAAAGACTTGATGAATCGTGGATTTTGATTGGTAATAGAACTTGACCACAGTTTGGGGTTTTAAAATATGACAGATTTTTTTTAACCGTGCATTGTACAGTGTATTTCATTTCAAGACTAATGTATTTATTAACAACTGCCACCTCTGGCACCTCGTCCCAGCAGATGTAATTACAGACGTTTTCCTATTATAGATCACAATGTAAGAATCCCCTTAAACTCAAGTCTGATGAGGGCCTGCCACACTGATTTACAGCAAAGGTTGCAGACACAAAATTACAGGCTTGTATTTGACTGGAAAGAGCGCATAAAGGTCATTGTCAAGGATCTTGTTCATTCCTTGTTTCTCCACCTACTGTACAGGTCCCACTACATCTTCCAGCGTCCTTCACGTAACATCTGTAAAGTATTGTTTTTAAAGCTTTTTACTTTTTCTACTTTCCCTACACCCTCACATGTGACAGGAATTAATGTCTCAGTCAAGGCTTAACCATACTACACATGTACAACACACTAGTACATCAAACGTCCTTTAAGGAATGTCTTCAAATGCTATAAAGGTATTTTATCTTGGTTTGTTTGAATACATCTCTGACAGATGAAGTTATGTTTGTAAATGTTTACACACTCAAATCATTCTTTTCCCTCATAAACATGGAACAATAATTCTGAGTAAAACGCAACTGGAAGATAATCAGATCAAAGCTTCATTTATTCAAATAATTTATCACTAAGGAGGACACGTTTGGTGTGAACTGACTGTATAAAAATCAAGTAGCTTCCATGTGACCAGTTTCCATTAAATTTAACCTGTTACATTGTAATTACATGTTACTAAATTGCATGCAACCTTTAGAGGTAATTCATTTCCTTAAAGTCAACATTTTGGCCATTTAGGCATGAATCCATACTACCTGGTTACTTAAAATGGGCTATTTGAAATATCAACACGAGCAACACAAAAAGCAGAAGTTTGACGAGTATAGAAGTAGTGTTAATCACATTTTTCTCTCAGGCCTTCATGTGGTTTCAGATCTTTGATCTTTAATTTAGAAACCATTAGTCTCAAACCATGCAGGGCCTTTCACTGTGCTATCATTTGTGATTTGCTAAAATCACAAACGAAATCACACAACAATAATTCATCCAAACACTAATGGGCTCAGAGATGTACAGGAGTCTTTTATCTGAGATAATAGAGTGCAATTAAACACTGTTTGACTCCGGACAGAGAGGTGTTCTCGTCTTTTGAAGTGTGTGCTGCACGAAGGCCAGCGCGTGCTTTTGAGCAAACATCCTTTGGGAACATAAAACTGGAGCTGGCATAAAGTGATTGACAGTGAGCTCGTGCCAGTAAATCTTTATATTAATTATTTGCCTGCTTTTGTGTGTGTGTGCTTTCCTCTTAGCTTTTTCCACCCTGTCTCTCCTGATCTATTCCCGCCTGATTTTAATGCATTTTTTTATGAATTTGACTTTCTCTAACTTAATCTCTCCCCCCGTGTTTCGAGTGTTGTGTCACACCTCCATCAAGTCTGACCTTTTCATAATGTTTGCCAGAGGCTGCTATGTTCCTTGCTCTATTACCCTTCACGTTTCCTCTTGCTCGCTTGGTCACGACAGCGACACGAGAGCCTTCACTCGAGATGACAAAGCCTGTTGTCTCCTCTGATTCTCGCTTCTGTTTCTTTCTCGTTTCATTTTCTTCTGCAATTTCTGCTGCCTTCCACCTGAAGCTGTGCTCTTTCATCCACACTAATCTGTTTTGATTTTTCCTCTGTTCCCGTATTTTCTCTCCCTCCTTTAAGAGCTTTCAAGAGCACACCGATAAGAAAAAGAAACACATAAAGTCCTGAAATGTTTTGTTTTTTATCTTACATTTAGGTTAGAAAGACATTCTGAGCTACAATACTCTGTGTTTGTAAAAATGTCTTTGGGTGAAGTATTGCAGTCTAATGTCCCTGAAATGCCTACATCTCAGTCTAAATAACCAATAAAAACCATATTTGATACCAAAAAAGGCAATATAATTAAATTAGCAATTCACCGTTTAAAAATTCTGCCCTGCTTCAACTCCAGTTGCAGAGAAATGAGGAAATTTGGAAAAAAAAAAAACACCTAGCTATTTTCAGATAACAATGCTTGTATGCAAAACTGTCCCAGGAATGCATTGTTAATAATAATTGGATGCTTTGTTCAGTTTAATTTATTCAGCCCTTATCCAAATACATATTTAGTTACATCTGGACCCTTTCCATCCACCACCTCACCATAACAACCCTCAATAGTACATTAGCACACAGCAAGCAATCACATTTATTTATGCTTCATTGTCGTTGTTGTTTGAATGGGAGGCCTCTAGCAAATTACTCTGGCAATCTTACACGTAATAAATGTTGTAAACTTCTGAAACTCTGGGACCACTAAATATATTATTGGTACAGGTGTAAACGTGAGCCGGTACAAACTGATCAGAAGTTGGTTTTACTGACTTTGTAAGCCGGGGAGAGAAGACAAAGGGTTTTGCACACAGTTTGTCACAAGTTTTGATTTTTGTGAATGGCCACGTTTAACAAGTGCATCACCAGCACATGTCAAATTACCGAAGCAGTTTAGGCATTGGTGTGTAGTTAAGTCCATGGACTGGGTACTAGCATGTAAATGATACATGAAACTGTGACAGGCATCATGCTATTATTAGAGATGGCACGATACCACTTTTTTATGTCCGATACCGACATCATAATTTTGGATATC